ATATGGAACAACTGATTGGTTCAAAATTGGGAAAGGAGTACGGCAAGGCTGTATATTGTATCCCTGCTTATTTAACTTATATGCAGAATACATCATGCGAAAGGCTGGACTGGAGGAAGCCCAAACTGGAATTAAGATTGCCGGAAGAAATATCAACAACCTCAGATATGCAGATGATACCACTCTGATGGCAGAAAGTGAGGAGGAATTAAGGAAGCTTGTAATGAGGGTGAAAGAGGAGAGTGCAAAAAACGGTCTGAAGCTCAACATCAAAAAAACTAAGATCATGGCCACTGGTCCACTAGTCCCATCACCTCCTGGCAAATAGAAGGGGAAGATATGGAGGCAGTGACAGATTTCACTTTCTTGGGCTCCATGATCACTGCAGATGGGGACAGCAGCCCCGAAATTAAAAGACGCCTGCTTCTTGGGAGGAAAGCGATGACAAACCTTGACAGCATCTTAAAAAGCAGAGACATCACCTCGCCAACAAAAGTCCGCATAGTCAAAGCTATGGTTTTTCCTGTAGTGACGTATGGAAGTGAGAGCTGGACCATAAAGAAAGCTGACCACCGAAGAATTGATGCTTTTGAACTGTGGTGCTGGAGGAGGATCTTGAGAGTCCCCTGGACTGCAAGGAGAACAAACCTATCCATTCTAAAGGAAATCAAACCAGAGTGCTCACTGGAAGGACAGATCCTGAAGCTGAGGCTCCAATACTTTGGCCATCTCATGAGAAGAGAAGAATCCTTGGAAAACACCTTGATGTTAGGAAGGTGTGAAGGCAAGAGGTGAAGGGGACAACAGAGGATGAGATGGTTGGACAGTGTCATCGAAGTAACGAATATGAATTTGACACAACTCCGGGAGGCAGTGGAAGATAGGAGGGCCTGGCGTGCTCTGGTCCATGGGGTCATGAAGAGTCGGACACGACTGAACGACTAAACGAACGAGATAGCATATTATTTATTTATTTAGTAAAGTATTTCTGAAGCACCCTATACAGGGCAGAGTACAATCATTTTAAAAGAATCTAAGGCCATTCAAATACTCAACAATGTAAAACCTTTTGAAATACTTAAGAACAACTTAACAATTCAAGGCAACAAAAAAGAACAAAGTGTCCCCTTTAGGGTTTCTTCTTGGCATGCAGTCAAAACTGCTTCATGTGCTGGTTGTTCAAAGGCATATTGAAACACATTAACTTTGTACTTGAGACAGCAATGGACTTTTCTGCATTCAACTTAATCCTGGGATGCTTGCCAGTGGAAAAGAACATTGGAAGTGGCTATATATTGTGACTCCTAAGGGCTGTCTTAGAGGCTAAAGGCATTATTTTACAATCAAAATTCAACTACTGCACCATATATTAAACACTGGACATCACAGATCTGGCCACAAAAGATAAATTAATATATAATAGGAGAGAAGTCAGTGAAAATTATTTGAATGTGTAGGTGACCTCCAGTGGTTTACTTGAATGGAAAAGGGACTATAAAAGCTATTTTTCGAAAAGTTAGCTTCCCTATCTTCTTTCCCCTAGTTTCTATCCACCATCATTGTCTGTTCCATGTATATCTTGTCTATATTTGTGTGTCTGTAATCATGAATGATCTTTATGGTATTGAAATAAGTATACAAAATATTTGGTATATTAAGTGAGATGTCAGGAAGGGTGGGAAAGGAGATGCTAAGGAGAAGTGTGTGAGTTGAATCAAAGACAGACACACACTTGATGTGTTTGGGAAAAAAGTAAAAAAAAAAACCTGTAATCTGAAAAAGTACTGCCAGCTACATCTCTTGATAGTATGTCAGATGAAACATTTTAGTTAGAGTCTTCATCTTTATAATGACACATCATTTTTGTTACTTGATTTTAACTCCATTATTGGAATTGTTCTCAGTTCATAATTGTTTATTTAAAAGGAAGTGGGGAAGATCCTGGAGAGACTGAATAAAATCTTTAAGTGCGACACTTTCTTAAATACAGTATTATCTGCAATATTGATGAAATCTTCACAGTATAGCACTATGCATGTCTGTTCAAAAGTTTAGTCCCATTATGTTGAGAGGGCCTAATTCCAGGTATGCACAGGGATGGATCTACTATGAAGCCTATGAAGCTTAAGCTTCAGGGCCCCTAATCCTGAAGGCACCCAAGAAGTGACTTTAGTCCATATTTTTAAAAAAAGATTTGGTGATCTGTCATGGGACAACCCCATAGAAGAAGATAACAGTGGTTACCCATACTTTGTTCTTGATTGCAAAGAGGCCTCCGTAACAGTTCAAGTTTGAGGGTCTCAAAAATGTAGATCTGCCACTAGGTATGCATGTGTATTATTGCAATCTTGATTCACTGTGATGTAATTACTGTTACATACAGCACTGATGTTACCTGTCTGTCATGGGTTGGAGGGAAAGTTCCATCCTATGGGGAGTGGAAGGCGGGACATCAGGAGGAGGGGCTGTACTGTATATATATGTGAAGCCTGTGTGAAGTTTAGCAGAGCTGAAGGAGAAGCTGGGGGAAAAGCTGAGAGAAGAAGCTTGAGTGGGAGTCTGTGTGTCAGACAGGGTACTACTGTGTGTCAGTCAGTACCAACCTGATAGGTTCAGGTGTCTGTATGGTTAGCCAGAACTGATAGGTTCAGGGTCTGTGCTTCAAGTTAAGTGTTCTGTGTGAACCAAACTGTGTGTATGTATGAGTGAAACCAAGCCACGTTACTGTATCTTATTCACCTAATCCTTTTATTTTCCCTGTGTGTGATTTAAATAAACCTTGTTCTTTTATTTGTTTAAAAATCCATCCCTGGTCTGTGTGACTTCTTATAGGGAATGGTTGGTGGCAGCTTAGTTAACGTGTGGCTATTCCCAGTAGGTCTGGGTTTGTCACAATTACCTTGCAGTGTCACCTTAGTAGCAGTAACATAAATTGGAAAGCTAAATATTAATGGCATTACGTAAGACATGAATGCTTTAAAAGTGTTGAATGAAACTCTTTAGAAATGTGTGAGTTCAGCTATTCATAGACATCGCACAATGTGCCATTGACATAGCTCAAGCTAATACCACTTCCCAAGGCTTCTTAATATACATATTTGGATTCTGTGGAATATACAGAGAGGTGTTAAGCCCCTATTGCAGAAGCTTGGATTATTATTATTTTATTTCTAACAAGTTGGACCAGAATTACTTCTGACTCCACCCTGTCTTGGAGGAAAATCTAATAAATTGATTGAATGCTCTGCTGTTCTTGTTACAGTGAGTTCCACTAGCAGTTGGAATTTTCTCTACATGCTTTCTATTGCTATATTGCCTGCCTTAGTGCAACCAAGCTAAAGTAGTCATGCTTAAACAGCTTTTCATAACTTCCAGTTATTGCAAAAACAGTTAAAGATAGAATTGTTTCCTACACAAGACTTGTCTTTCTTACTGTGGTTTGCTAAATACTGCTGTTGCTCCCTTTATGTCCCTCTAACAAGTCCTAAGTGGACTTTTTGAGAATATTGCTTTCAGAATCCTGTCAGCGATTTATTCATGTGTAAGTTAAATTGTGTATCATAACTGCAGTGAATTGCTGCTAACTGCCAAGCCACTGGTCTCATTATGAGGTGCATATGTGACTGCAAAACAGATCAGTGCCTAGTAATGTGGTTGGCACTTCATTAGTTAGCAGCAATTTGTCAGAGTGACTTATGCAATTGAACCTAGTCCATGTGTAAATTGGCAACAAGATTCTAACCTATATGTGCATTTAGCATTATAGCAGACATCACACATGGAACATCATACTAGGGGGAGGTTGTTATAACAACATATTTACTGGATCACAGCAAAGACTGATAGTCTAGTACTGTTTTAAGCAGTACTAGGTAGCCAGCCACTTCTGTGAAGCTGCCCAATGGGCCAGGCGTGTAAATGCCTTCCCCTGTTTTCTGCATAGCATGGGGGGAAATAAACTAGAATCCCTTTTGGAGTGCAATTCACAGACTCCCCCAATGAGCATAACCAAAACATGTAACTTTTCCAAATTTTGGTTTGGTTTGGTTCTCTCTCCCCCCTCCCCCTTTTTTGTTTTCTCATGTTGTTTCTTTTTTGGTTGGTTGGTTGGTTGTTTTACAGTTGGTACCACCTTAGCTCAGTGGGTTAGGTACAGTATCTGGCTATGGAGCCAGAGGTTGGGAGTTCAGTTTTCTGCTCTGCCTCCCAGAAGAGCCAGCCTGTGTGTCACTGGGCAAGGCACACAATCACAGGATGCTCCCTGAAGAAGGGAATGGTAAACCACTTCTGAGTACTCTATATGTAGAAAACCCTGCAAAGGTTGTCCATACCATCTGGAGGTCCAAGGTTGGGGACCACTGCTCTATATGTAGAAAAACCTGCAAAGGTTGTCCATAAATTAGAACTAACTTGATGGTACACAGTTATTATTACCATCTTGCAGTCAGGGAGATTCCATAAGTAAATTAATAGGTATAGCTCGGAATTGTTAACTGTGATACGTATACATTTGAATTGCATGTTTTCTAGTAAAAGAACTTTGCTTCTTTTGCTAATGATATAGGTGACTGAACTGCCCAAAGTTGCATAGCAAGAAAAGCAGGATATCTAACTGTTTTGAAAGACAAAGTGATATAAACAACTTTAAATAGGTGCTTGAATGTAATAACTCTTTATCATCCTTCTTCCATGTGGTAGGTTTACAGCCTAATCATTTATAATACAAACAGTGTCGTTAATACTCACAGAATAGTCCTTACCAATTCCATCTAAATGCATTTTGCAGGCCAAGTGAATTCAAGGGTGAAGAGGACAATGGTGAGCAGTGATGCTTTCATATAATATGCTGTTCTGAGATGGTCATTTGCAACTTCATTCCAACATCCTTTCAAAACAGCAGTTCAACCATGAAAAGAAGCCCCACTGTAATCTAACTACGTTTGGAAAGAGTCAGCAATTATAATTCAAATGAAGCAAAGAAGCTTTGTTTCTAGTTTTCTAAATAGTTAATTTGGCTGGAATCATATTATGACTGGGAAAAGATAAAATCGGAGCAGGGAAACGGACAGAGCTGGGATCCTGTGCGTGTGATGGTGATAGTAATTGCTGACTATTATTCTTTGTATTCAGTAATACAGAGTTTCTCTGAGGCCCAGTCCATCCATGCACACTTCCAGAGGAAGTCCTGTCTGAGGTCTAGCCCATACAGTATGTGTAAACTGCAACTGGATGATGGAAGCCCTGTGGCCAACTACAGGGCTTCTCCCGTCATTCTGAAACTTTCAGCATACCAATACCCTTAATTCTTTAAAGAAAGGAAAAACCAGCTGTTTGCAAGAGGGAGAAAGATAGTGTTGGCATACAGAAACAGACAAAACTATGAGTTTTTTTTATAGAAATTGCTTACAATATGAAAAACAGATTCATTTGACATATGGTATTGGAGGAGAGCTTTAATATCCTCCACTGTGATTATATTTAAGCCGCTGTTGTACTAGTATGAGTCTGAGGTTAGATGTAAAATGTTTGTGTTTCACAAAGTGGACTACTAGAGGGATCCTATCTCCTGGCTTCTTAGGTATCGTAATATTTTCCATGTATAAAACTACACTTTTCCCTTAAATAATTAGACAAAAAAATTGAGGGTCGTGTTATACACAAAAGGCAGCCACTTTCCCTTTTGCTTTACCCACTTCCTAAGCCCCGTAGGGTTTAGGAAAGCAGCCATGGAAGGGCTTCAGGATCAAAGGGCTGTGATTGTGCAGCCCTTTCATCACTGCTTTACCCGAAGAGAGTGCCCCATGGCTTTGCAAAAGGCAAGGAAAAAGGTGGTCACTTTGACAAGCCATTTTGAAGCCCTGTGGCTTTGAAAAAGGCAAGGAAAAGCAACTGTCAAAGTGACCGTCACTTTTCCCTGCCTTTTGGCTTCTTTTTTGCTAAGCCCCGTGGCTTTGCAAAAGGCAAAGAAAAGCAGCTGTCAAAGTGACCGCCACTTTTCCCTGCCTTTTGGGAAGCTACGGGGCTTAGCAAAAGGAAGGGAAAAGCAGGGATCAAATTTTCCAATTTGGGGTTAGAACAGTGGGTCATCTTATACATTAGGTCATCTTATAAATGAAAAAATACAGTATTCCCTTATTTGATTTTTTTAGGGGGCCTGTTTTTCTTGGATAGTCATCTTATAAATGGAAAAATACAGTATTCCCCTATTTGATTTTTTTTAGGGGGCCTGTTTTTCTTGGATGGATTTTTTGATACTTGCTCTGAATAGCATAGATGACTATTACACGTGACAGAATGATGTAGCACACAACTCGTGTAGTTAAGGTGGTGCTCAGATTCCATTATCCTTGAAGTATATCTGCAATAAACACAGTGCCTGCAAGATGCCTTATCTTATACAATTGTGTGACCCCTTGAAAAAGGAGAAACACATGGGTTTTCTAAAAGCAATAAACACTATTTCTTAGCATCTTCATTGAATCTTTGCCTATTTTTGCTATCATACATTTCTGTCTTTATGACTATATGCATTTATGAATAGGAGGGAGCATGCAAATTGTAAGGAAAATGTTTATGGTGCTGCATTTAAAATACAGATGTTTATTTAAATAAAGCCCAGCTTGCTTTTTTTCAGACAACTACCTGGCTTCATTTGTATCCACACTTTTAAGCTGTTCTCTTTTGTTTTGGAATTCAACATCTTACTCTTTTTCTTCCACAGCCTTGCAGTAAGGGAGTTTCTTTGCTTGGATGATCCTCCCGGTCCATTTGACAGTCTTGAAGAGAGCAGAGTGAGTATGATAATGTTCTTAGAACATATATTCCTGCCACACAAAAAGGGAAAATAATAATATAGAGGCAAATAATGTATAGCGTCTACATTAATACAACAAGCAGTAAAAAGTGCAAGGGAAGAAGTCCAGCAGTGCAACAAGGATCACTTGGGAATTATAAGTAATGAAATAGAATGAGGTAGTACTAAGGAATGATCCTCAAGATTTTCTTAATTTTGTACACTGTCATTTTGAATTGACCATGTTATCTTCCTTTATTTTTTGTCTGCCAGAACTTTGAAAATCGTATGTTCTTCTGCAGTGCACATAATTTTTGATCATTCAGATTCAATGCACTGTAAAAATCTACATCTAAGATACAGCTCTTTCATATGAGTACAGACATGAAACTATTATTTAATTAGAATAAAAGGACATGCTATGCTCATGGTTAATAGTACATGTCAGAGTACAAATGAGGAAAACTGCTGAATTATGTAAGTTCCTCTGTTATTTAAGTTAATGATGAATTTTGAAATGTAAAGCCAAAATCCTCTTGTGACTATGTAAAGCTGTGTATACATGGTCAAATACCACCACCAGATTTGCTACACATATAAAATGGGTGAATTCAAAGGATTGGTTTTACTGACTGCATGATGCAAAGGCTGATTCAAATTCGCCAGCCCTTTTTGCTCCCAGAGCATCTTTTTTTTCCTGTGCCATTGGGGAGCTTCTACTTTTTCAAGCCAGAGCAATTTGAACAGGCTTCTTCCTGTATGTTTAGTTGTGATACATTTTTCTAAAGACTCTGGGGGAGGGAGGCATGCGTTCATGGCATACACAGTGGGGAACATGCCCCCACATTCTTCTCCCCCAGTCTTCAAATTTTATTTTTGTATTATTATTATTTTATTATTTTAAAATTAAAAAAAAATCTTAGCACTTGATCACCCTATCATTTTATCTTTGGGTCCTCGTTGTTATTATTTTCCACATTTATGCTCCATCAGAGGATTAGCAGAGGTGAGACCAGAGGAAGGATGGAAAGGAGGGAGGGCTGTGGGCCGGAATGTGAATCACATCACATCCAGTATGAATGGTGAATTCACTAATTTAGCTGCAGCCCCAGTGTGATTACTGGCTGCAATTTCAGACATAATATGGGCTGCAAACCAAGGAGCAACAAATGCAAATCTGGTGTAGCCACACCCTAAACAGGCAAGTGCAAATGTGACCCTACTGGCAATACTGTCCCTTCTGCTTCTCTGCTTCCTCAGTTCAGGAAAACAATGGCTCATTCAGTCATATGATGGACAGCAAGTCATCAGGGAAATGCTCCTGCGCAATTACCCTTGCACGTGTGTTGTTGTTTTTAAGGAGTTTGATGCTAGCTCTCATTTGCAGACTTTCAGAGAAAATTTCTTGTACCAAATGATTTTAGCTGCATGATATAAGGACCATTTTCACATTTGTCCACGCACGCTGCCGCAGGTTACTGCAGTAGAACCAATCACCTTCCATTCATGACACAGTAGTTCCTATGCAGTAGTTCTGGTATGATGCATGTATATCATGCTGTAGTGAAAAGCTACACAAAGATGAGGTGAAAGCTGAGATTACAGCTTTTGTCATTCTGGAAGTCTTTTGACCTGTCGACTGGAACAAACTGTGTGTGAGACATTAAAAATCAAAGAACTACACCAAGAAACCATGCATAAGCATACGATCAGTGACAAGTCTTAACATTTCTTACACAATGATCGTATGCTTATGCATGGTTTCTTGGTGTAGTTCTTTGATTTTTAATGTCTCACACACAGTGAGATCAGTGTTAAGTCTTAACATTTCTTACACAATGATGTTATTTTTAAAAATATTATTTTCTCCCTTAGGCTTTCTGTGAAACACTAGAAGAAACCAACTACCGTCTGCATAAGGAGCTCACCGAAAAGCAAAAAGAGGTGGAAGTTCTCAAAAAATTATTACACGAGAAAGAAGAGTACATAGATGTATTGGAGAAAAGGATTGGGTAGGTTATAAGAAAGGAGTGACAAACTAGACTTGAGAGACCTGAGTTTGAATTCCTTTGGCCATGGAAACTCACTGGGACAAGGTGAATCCACTCCTTAAATATATCTCATAGTTTGACACCCTGCTAAGGTCACTGTAAATCAATCCCAACTTGCCAATACACACTGGTTGTAAGAAACCACTTGAAATCAGACCACAATCTGTAAATCAGTAGCACCGAAATAATAAATAATGAACAGTGTAAATACCAGGATTTCTGAAATGACCATTCTACTTTCATTGTTTTTATCCTGGAAAGCCAGGAGATCCTCCAAGGAACTGCCTTACATGATACTATATAAGGAACTGTAGTGAGAGATGGAACAGTAGCTTTGATTTTTGTGCAGGGAAGCCCTCGAGTGCATGCTTGGGGTTTTTTAATGCAGCTTAACTTGCCTTTCAGAGTTGAAGCACAGAGGACCCAGAATAAACAGCAGAACTGGGAATTTTCAAGCAGCTGCTTTGTAGAAAATGCAGTGCAGTTTCTTTCTGTTTTGTTGTAGACAAAAGTGTATCTCATGAAGCCAAGTTTTAGTTCACATTCAAAAAAGGAACATGTTATTCATATCTAGTAATGTAATTTCTAAAACGTTTACTTTTCCTGCATCAAATATAACCAAACAAGGACTGTATTGAAATATCCCAAAGAATTTGATGAACCTCTGCTAAATTAAGAATACTCTTAAATATTTCAAGATTATTTAAATAATGTGTCTTACAATTGAGTGCTTAAAAAGTAAACAAACTGGAAAACAGTCTGAAAAGTATCTCATTCAGATGTCCTTTTATTATTTTCTAACTTGAATAGAGTGTTTTAAATATATATATTTATTTTGTTTCAGGGATTTAAATTTAGAGGAAATGAAGTCCCATACAATGTCAGGACAGGAGAGTGAGTGCAGTGGTGAAGTAGAGTCATCTGCAATAGAGGCCGATCAAGGTGCTATGGAAGAAGGCAACAGGTAAATTAAAAATTCTGTTGCTTTCGTTTAAAATTCTTCTGTGAAATGCATTTCACTTGTTGGTTTAATACACAGTCCTCTGGATGTTCTGTTACGATAATTCCCATTCCTTTCAAGGAATCTACCTGAAAGATACTTTCCAGAAGATTGTGCCTGCCTTTTGTAATCTAACAAGGTTAATTATAGATATGTAATTGTGTTTTCCTATCCCTTTCTCTTCAAAAGGTCCTTGAATAATATGGTACTTAACATTGGAATAGTTGAAGGTAATATCTGTTCAGGATAAGATATCCTGAATAACTTATGCTTAGGTAAACCTAGCTTGAATGAGAAACTATCTGACAGGCCTATCATGTGTGACTTGTGTTACCTGTTTTCCACAGCATTAAAACACAAGATGTCAAGCCTAAATTTGGGTCTGTTGGGTCTTAGGGAGCAGTCGTCTATAAATTTGTAGTAAACAAGATTAAATCAAGTTTCCAAATGTTTCAGCAATCTGAATTACGAAATAGACATAACAATTAATTTACAAACATATTTGTCTGCTGTATAACTCATGTGTCTGTTTCGTAGTTCGGGAAAGGAGAATCGAGAAACATGTTGGAGCGGTTCCTTGGCTGAAAACTGTATACCAGAAATTGAAGTTGCAGAGGTGGCATATTCAGCTGATGGTGAGATATAAGCACCTCCTGCTGCCTTTACAGCAGTGTTTTTTTTGTTTTTAAAAAAAGGTGTCTGGGACACATTGAACAAAACATAGTAGCTCTGAAGGAGAAAAATGAGAATGCACAAGTGAATGTTTACATAAACCAATCTGGATAAACCTTTGGCATAGGAAAGAAAAACTGTGCTGATGTTATTAGCCTATTTAGATACATGCATATATATATGTTAATATATAAAAAGTTCTGGTTAATGCCAGGTGAAATTATGCCTAGAATCCTAAATGATGTGCATAAGTTACAATTTACCAACATGTAGAGGCTAAATGTCACACATGTAGATACCCAACAAGTTTTTTTTCTCCCCTGGCATGCTGTATATTACGTTTGCTACTTATACATGACACATTTTGTATGGACACCTTTTTGGTATCTGGTTTTTCAGATTCTTTATATAGGTATATAATATGCTGTGGGAAATGTAACTTTGCTCCCAGAGCTATGAAAAAAAAAATGATCTGTTCTGATTTTAAAATGATAAGTGGAGATTAAAACATGTAAAATTTTATGCAATAAACTAGGAGAGCTTACAGTACCAAAATAATACTTCAGAAATGGGAATATGATTAAGCATTTTTTATGATGAAAAAATCTTAGCAAAGAAAACTACAGAATTCATGTGGAATACACTGTGGATGTTCACCTTCACTTGTAAATAATGCAAAAGCTGATATACTGTGTAATTGTTCTTAAATCCCATGACACCTTTGCCACAGAGCCATGTAATCACCAAATCAACAGCTCTGCCTTATATGAAAAACACTACCTCTTATGTTGTTGCTAATGCAGAAGTACGCTGTTTAAAATATGTACATTGTATACAGAAAGTTTGTGTTAAGCCATAGTTCTCCTGCAGTTAATTACTTTGGTTAAGTATAGTTACAGTTTATGTTTGTTTCTAGAATATTGAACACACAGATGTGCTACAATTAGTTCTTATTTTTCAAATTACGCCAAGCCCAATGATGCACTTTAAAATACGAAAAATGACTTAATGTGCCAAGTGTATTGGCTTTTTTGAGTTGGACCTGTGGATGAAGGTGAGACCAGTTTGCACAGTTGTGCCTCTTAGCATTTGCTTGTTTCAGATGTTTCCTTTAATATTGTGGGTGAGCTTTATGGGATCTTCAAAAACATTCTGCTCAGCAGTTGTTGGCTGAAAGTGCCTTTTGTCCGCTCTTCCAGTGGGAAGAATGCTGCTTTTGTTCTTCACTGTGCCACCTAGTTCTTTGTTTTAATGCTGTTAACACACAGTCTCCATGTGCTTGTTGTCTTCAATGCTCACTTTGTATTTTGGGGTTTAAAGACAAAGATCTGTGCAGAAGTGTATAAAAGCATCTGGGGCAAATAAACTTTTGGACATGACAACATACTGTGTTTCTGTCTTCTGTTAAATATATGGTCAGTAAAAATGGCCAGAACACAAAACAAACTTCATAGTTGACCTTTGTGGATCTGCCTGTAGCATATGAAGTCTTACAATTCCTTTAAAGTACATTGTGACTTTTGCCCCTTCTGGCCCCTGTTTGTCTCCCCAAAACTGAGAGCTCACAAAGGCAAACCAAAAGAACACCTTTCCAGATGTTGCCACCAGTTGATTTCTTTATCAATATACATTACTTTGAAAAGACGAAGGTCCATTCATCACTGTCTTTTGAATAAAACAGGTTTATTGATTACAGATGTTTCTATAATAATTCATAAGTATTTTCTTCAGGTTCATCAAGCATCAATAACAATCTTCTATATTATCATACAAGTTACTATTCACTCCTCAGAGTAATCACTCCTCAGATTCCCAAACTGTCTCTCTCTTCAAACTCAGATCCAGACTGTAAACTAAACTCCTCCTCTCTGGCTCCGCCCTTCAACATCTCTAGTGGCCCCACCTCTCAACCACACCAGCATAAAACATGTATTTAACATAATAAGGGCAAACGCCACATACATTTTAAATGTGATCCAATTTTCCAGGACCAGAGGTTCCATTCACTGGATTAGAGGAAGGGTAAAATATGTGATTGCATAGGTCACTTAGACACACATTCTAGCAACAGTTGCCTTTACTCAAGTTACCACAGGTAAATTGCATTCTGTTGTAAGGATTGTAACACAAAATACTAGAAATTACTACTTTTTCAATCTCAGTTTGCATAAAATAATGTATGTGCTATATTTTCATTTTTTTTAAAGCCAGTGCTCAAGGCAGCTAGCAAAGTCATGAAAGAGATTCAAAATGCATTGGTTCTAGTTGTAGTAAAGTAAAAATAAATGGAAAACTTTTCTCTGCTTATACTACAGAGGCAAACAAATAAACTGCCTAAACAAATCTGCTTTAACTGAATAACAAAGTAACAACTGGACAGTCAAAGCAGACCTTTTGTAGAAGAGAATTTCCAGTGGAATGGAGTTCCACAAGTGGAATGTGTAGAAAGAAAGTGCTCCAGTATCCCAATCAACCTTGCATTAACCCATGCTGAGACAAAGGGGAGGGCTGCTCTGTTGATGCCCCCATGTTGGCTGGGGAGTGATGTGAGTTGTGGTGAAACCTATTTAAAGAGCACAAGATCAGGGAAGGGTGACCTAAATCTATAGACCAACTTGTCATCATTTTTGAACAGCTGTCTAGTTCCCTCGGTTTATAATCTTACCTTCCAACTGCAGAGCTGGAAGGGACCCTATGGAGGGTGCCAAGTCCAGCCCCTGTCAAAGAATGGGGAATCGAACTCCCAACTCTGGCTATGCAGCCAAATACCTAAACCACTCAGTTATCCAGCTTCCCAGCACTGCAGCACACATTGCTTTTATAAAGGAAGGGTGTGATCTTCAGAAGTAACAAGCCATGTTTTACCTAAGCTTTCATTGACGTAGTCAATGCAAATAAAAACAGACTTTTAGGTGCCACAAGCCTCTTTATTGGTTTTGCAGCAAAAGACTAAAAAAACTGCTCTGTTCGTGCAGTAAAAGTTCCAATAGTGATAAATCCAGTAATGCCTCTGCCCTGCCCATGTATGCATGGGTTAGACTCAGGTATCACTGACTTTGGCTCAGAACTAAGGGAAATTCTGTAATGTGTAGTAAAATAAGATATTTTGTAACCCCTGGATAAGCAGCTTGCCCTGCCAGTATGGATATTGTGTTTTATTGCTTTATTATACACCTGGAAAGCATTAATCTAGGCAAGTGTTATTCATTAAAATGTGTTTATTCAAGTTTCAGTTACATATGTAGATATCTGGAGGTCAGTGTAGCAAAATATTTTACCTCAGTACTTTACAAATAAATTGATTTCCATTGAATTTAAAATAGATACTGGGATACTATAAATGTAACTTCATTTTTTTTGAAAATGTAAATCTTTTTAATGAAAATTAATATTCAGGTTTATGTGCATATGTTCCAAGGCCTTGTATTTGAATCTGTCAACGATATGCATAATGTTGATAACACCTGTCTCTCTAGGCCCAGTTCAGTTTCTGATAGTCCCTTTAGCCAACTGTAGCCATGCTTATTAATGGATCAGTTCTGCATTGTTTCTCTTAGTACCTCGTTCTCCCTCCCCAGTGTTCGTGCACAGATCTGCAGTTTGGTTTCTTGATTAAATAGAAATCAATAACTATTCTGAAGGACAGAGTCCCAGACTGAAAAGAAAGGAAAGCAAAAAAAGGAGTGTGCTGCTTATGTACCACCTCATAGTGCTTAAAGCACTCTCTGGGCGGTTTACAAATTAATTATGCAGACTACACATTCCCCCCCCCCCAGCAAGCTGGGTACTTATTTTTCCAACTTTGGAAGCATAGAAAGTTGAGTCTACCTTGAGCTGGCTACCTGGGATTGAAAGCCAGGTCGTGAGCACAGTTTTGGCTGCAGTATAGCAGTTTAACTACTGCACCACAAGGTTCAAGAAAGGGAGAATAACTGGGGTGTTGTTTTCTGTGGAACATCGAGGCCTAAAATAAGAAAGTGGCCTTTATTTTGATGGCAGGGAGCCCTTGGAAAGCATACAGTATTTCAGGTAGTACTGCAGGCATCTTCATGCTACGAAGAATCAACATGATATATGTCAGTGAACGATAATCATTACCATCATTCTATAACTGACATGCCTTTCTAAATTCTGCCCGCTAGTGAGAGTTAAAGCTACTTTCCCCCAAATTTTGTTCTTCACCTGTATAGGACTAGAGCTCCCAACATCTGTGGGCCTTGCAACTGTGGGCCTTGCTAGTTATAGATCATCTTGAAGCCATCGGGCTGGAAAGGCTGTCTCATGCTGATGGAGGGCAGTGGGCCTTGGAGTGCAGCACAACTGGAGTATGCCAGGTTGAGGGTGGCTGAGCAAGGGTAAAAGATCGTACTAGGAACCTTGACAATTTTGCTACTATCAAGGCAGTTGTGGTCTCCAGCTGGTGGAAGACAGTGGGAGTTTGGGAGAGGAACATGGTCCTGTCTTGCTGAGGAACAACAAATACTTCAAATCATCTTCTCTTTTGCTCCTTAAAATTAGATGTAAGCCTTATGAATGTGTTTTTGGACTGGAAGGGAAAACAATAGAGGAGTGGTGTATTGCCAAGGAAAAGGGAACTGGTTTTGCTGTGTTTTAGAGTGACTGGAACAATGCCTTGCAAGTCTGGGAAACTTTAAAGAAGCTGCAGAGAAGACTAAATCCCTGAAGGAACAGTTATTGGTTGAGAGAACAAGGAAATCAATGGTGCATTACTTCTGCAGACAGGCATTAAACAATCCATTTATTTGCTTCCCAGAACAATTATCCAAAGACAAGAAGAATTTATGATCAAAATACAGGCACATTGTTGGACTTTCTTTGACAGCTTGGTTTTATATATTGTCAGTACTTCTTTTGAAGCAAAAAACTTTTTATGTCCATCATAATTTTTTAAAAAGACTCTAAATGCAAATCTGAAAAAAACTGCAGTGGGTTGTGTTTTGGTTGTTTTAGATTGTGCATGATATCCACATCACCCTTTTTTTGTAACTCTGAATTATATCTAAAATATTGGTGACAAAATGAATAGATGTCTACGTTTTTTTCATGTTTGTTTGCAACTTCCTGATTGAATTTACAACAAAAGAGTCTCATGGCACTTTTCAAGACTAATATCTTTATTAGGAAATACAAGCTGAAGTCCTCTATAACAGATGCAACTGTTAAATACTGTATGAATGCTCATGGGGTGTAATAACATGTTTATGTGGCATTCTAATCTGTATGAAGAACTGTGCATTTGAACATAAGAGTTGTGGCGGAAAAGACCAAAGACTGATTGGTCCAAAATTTCTCTTTACACAATCACCAAAGAGTTGTCTATGAGAAGCCTATCAATAAGATGTAAGTACAACTGCACCTCCTCATGTTACAAAAGCAACACATATATAGAGGTGCATTGTCTTTGATACAGAGGTGACATACAGCCATCTTGACTATAAATCATTAATGGTCCTAACCTGTATGAATATATCAAAACTTCTTTTAAAACCATCCAAGTTAGCAGCCATCCTTTCATCCTTCGGCAGTGAATTTCACTGTTTAATTCCATATAACATTGAAGAAGTACTTCCTGAATTTCCCACCATTCTGCTTTAGTGAATCACCCCACGTTCTAATATTTACAACCTGTACTTCTTAATTTTCCCTTTCCTCTTTCCCTTATCTTCAGATAGCCAAATTTGTGTGTTTTTCATCTATAGGAACAACTCCCTGCATGTGTAGAGTCCAAAAAGCCCCAGAACATCTGGCTTAATTGAATCTTTAGCTGTTGCAGTTCTAAACATTGCAGTTCTAAACATTTTCTTCTTTTATTGATTTGATGCTAATATTGCATTCCTATACACTACAGTTCCTTAAGAATAAGTCTTTCTTAATTTAGTGGAGTATAATTCTAATTCAACATGCCTAAGATTGCACTATAATATAGTTCAACTTATTTCCCACTGAAACCAAAGTAACTACAGAGTTGTGATCTCCCACTGGAACTGAAAGTAATTACTTTTCTCTGGATTCAGCCCACTGCAGTGTTGGGAACTGAGACACTATGGATGATATGGGGATCTCAGCATCATAGTTGTCTGCCATATGATACTCATCTTGTGACAAAGTATATTTTTCTGGTCCTGTTTTATTGATTAGTAAAATATTTTATTATTTTGTTTTGGGTGAAGTTTAGGGGAGGGGAGATAGGGCTTATGTTATATTGTAATGACTACCCAGAGTAGTGGTTTCCACTAAGTGGGAGTGGCATATAAATGCTAGAAGGGGAGGGAGAGGGAAGGGAAGGGAAAGGAAGATTGTGATTGGTCAGCTTGCAACACTTACGAAAAGGCTACTTCTAACCACAAGCTTTGTG